AGACACGGCTATACTCGACAGCTTTACCCCAGCCGAATTCGGCCATAGCATTAGCACAAAAACATGCAGACGGGATGATTAGCAGCAATGGGGACTCGCCCGGGCCGATAGCCCCAGTCAGCGACGAGTCCATGCTCTTTTGGAGCAGCTCCCGTAATTACTTGGCAGCATCTTCGTTTGGCTGTACACTGAGGTTTATGCTTGCCATGTCAGCAGTCAGCATCTGTATACCCAGGCAATCATTGGAACATTTGTACAATCTATGCTACTCCCTCACTTGCTGCGAAATGTGGCAGCTTCCATCATTGCTTCATGCCGCGAAATGTGGCGGCTCACTCACATGCCGCGTAAAGTGGCGGCTCATTCTCATCTGCTGTTTCCCCTTCTCGGATCGGCCTCAGTAGAGATTGGTTCGCAGCATAGTATGCTCGCTGGAGATATGACTTTTATCCATGTACTCTTTGAACGTGCAGCAGACGATAGCAGCTTCAACAGTCCGGCCAGTCTCCCACTCGGAAACCCATTCTGAGCAGGTCTTGTCGGATCTCAGGACTCATATGGGTACTCATGCCCACATGATAGGCTATCAAAATGATGCGTGTTCCACGCCATGGTAAGGTGGCGTGCGTGCGCCTCGGAGAGAACGACAAAGCTTCATTTGTCGATAGAACGTGCCCCCGCTCGCCTTCGGGATGTAGTCGATGCATTCCCGCCTCGTGCGCAACGAAGATCTCTCCTCCCTGAAAGCACGAAACTGGTAGCATCATGTTATGGGATCTTTTCTCGTTGTAGCTGTCCTTGTGGGGGCTCGCTCTCACGTTCCCGGAGAGCGTGGCTGACGTAAACAGCAACTCAGGATCCCATGTGCGCAGCACTCCAGACAGGACGCGAGTTGTCCACGGAAATTGCCTGGCATGATTGGTAGTGCCGAGCATCGGGCCTCGAACAAAGGCTCCAGTCGTGAACCTCTTGGGCAGGACCTCCTGGCCTTCCACTGGATCTTGGACCCATCTGAGAGAGCGATCTGCAGGTAACAGAGCCAACAGCCGAGCTAGCTGCTCCCAGCTTGCCTGTCCATTTCCTATCATGCCAAATGCAAGCGCCTCGGATTGCTGCTCGCTCGGCACCTCTAGGCCTGCCATGTCAACGCCTCTGATGAGATAGATCTGCCGCTCAAAAAGATTGCGTTGAATGCCCTGCTCGAAAGTGTTGAGGGGGCCCGCTCCAACCATATAGATGTTGGAATGAACCATGGGGTCCCGGACTGGTGAGACCTCTACTTCCGGTTCCCCTCCATCCTCACAGTTGTCCACAGGAGAACATGTATCGTCTTCCGAGGCACTAGGCTCTGCCATTGAGGATCCAGCTTTCTCGACACTGCTTCTGTCACTGCGCTTGGTAGGAAAGGACCACAACAGCCACATCAAAACGCTCTCTGAAGAAAGAGAAGGCTCGATATGATGCAACCATTTCCGTGAGCTGGGTAATCGTTGCCTCAGTTTGACCTCAGCAGAGAAATGAGCACAGGCTTCCAGGCTACGTTGCACACAAGCACACAGTCTCTGAAGGCCATTGTCCACGCTGCCGCCGCTGGGAACGTCTGGGAACTTCTGTCCATAAGCTTCCACTGGGAGTGGCCGCCCCGATAGGGCCAAGCAACTCTTCAGTCTTCAGCTCTGCGGAGACATGCAGCTTTGCAGCTGGAGCTTCAAGCGCTTCGTCCGAGCGCGCATTGTACCCAAAGTTTGTTCCGGGCATCCGCCCTCAAGCCGTAGCACTACGCAAGGCCATTATCCGCGTCCTCAGTCATTGATCTGTCGCTGGATTTGATTGGCCAATGCTGATCTGCCTGGCCGCTCTTGTCTGATGCTCATCCCCACGAGCTGCGTTGCGCTAAGCCCGCTGAGCTCCTGCAGATGCTGCCGGATCGTCGGCGCTGCTTCGCCGTGGATCGCCGTCTGAAGCGCCATGGTGAGATTCTTGCCTCCCATCTGCTTCGTGATCTCACGGCTTGGATGGAACCTCGTCACGCTGTCCGCCGCCACAAGCACTTGGATGGAGCCAACAATCGCCGCTACCCTGGCATGTGGGACTGGTTCTTTCTCAGGATCAGCACGGAGGCGCTCGTGATCTGCATCCCATCGGACATAATGCCATGCGAAGGGCTCTTTCGTTAGCCAGCCAAGCTTGCAGAGGGTGTCCATCTGTTCCTCCTGCTGCGAGATCCCGTCCAGCCGCGCGCCAAACTCCTTGAACATGGCCTTCACCAAGTCTACCCTCATTGGAGACTTCAGCTGCTCCGGGTGCTTCTCCTTCAGCTCGCGCCATTTTTGCTGCATGGCGTACAGCGATGGCAGTATGCTGGCACGCATGTCCAGCCGAAGAAACATCACCCATGACAACTCCGCTTTGATGCAGTTGCCGAAGTCCTCGTGGCGCAGTGTCATTTTCTGCAACGAAAACATCTCCTCCTTCAACTTCTTGACCTCCTTCCGGAGATTCTTTATCTCTGTGGACTCCTTGGAGGAGCCGGCCCATTTGTCCTTTGCATCGTTGCCCCACTGGTTCCATTCCGGGTCATCCCATCCACTGCCCCAGGCACTGGACTCGCGTCCCCTCCTGCGGCCTTGGCCATTGCCAGCTCCCTGTCGATCAGAGCCGCTGCCCTTGCCAGGGTTCCCCTTTTCGGCCCCAGTGCGGGCCGATTTGGCCGCTCTGTCTTCGTCCTCTTTGTCATGGTCGCGCTCATCTTCCCTGAGAGAATCAGGCCCTGCAGCCTGAGCAGCCTGCAAGCTCGGCCAATATTGGTCAAAGAAGCTCTCCTCCGTCCGCATTACCTGGTCCGCTTCCTTTGCGCCCTCCATTTCGCTCGATTGGTGCGAAGTCCTATCTGTAGGAGGGCTGACCAGCAAATTGAGCCCGGCTACGCAGCACGAGGCACAGAACTGAACGTCTGCGCTTGTGCCTCCCTCTTCGCCAGCTTGCTTATCAAAAAGATGATATAAACATTCCGGCAGTGCCCGTCATGTAGGTTGACATGTTCTGCAGGTTTCTTATCCTCTGTGAGCCACCATAAGCCCTCGACCTTGAGTAAGGCTCGGTAATGACCCGCAGTCGGAGTCCTGCCGAGGTGTATAATTGCCCCTTCAATGTCGTACTGGCACCATTGTACACTGGAGTCCTCCTGAAAGACAGGGACCTGCACATGCGTCGGGAGGTCCACGACGTTGAAATTTTTGGCCTGCATGTGATAGCGACCCAGCTGAAAACATATCATCGGGGCTTGTACAGTTAGGGCTGTGACCGAGTCGTCCTGCTGGTTCCAGGTATGGATCAGGTCCTGAAGCTTATTCGGGCCACGTCCCATTGGTAGCTGGAGCGGTATGGGGAGCGCGCCTTGTACCCGGAGGCGCACTCCTTCTTCTGCGTTGGTGCGAGTGTCCCACACCACCTGCAGATCAGGAAGTTGCGTGAACATCACACGCAAAAGCTCAGCCGCATCCTTCTGTTCCGCGCCGAACTCCCATTGTGGAGCTAGCTTGCGTAAGCCATGCATCCGAGGCAGCAGCAGGGTGACATCCCGCTCAGCTGCGTTGCGCCCAACTGCTCGAAGGAACTTCAGCTCCTCCGGGTAGTTACAGAGTTGGCTTGACCCATGCACCAGGAGTAAGACGCCCGCGTTGGCGTAGCAGAGCGAGGAGGGATTGTCCAGCCTGAGACGACAATACCAGGGTCGATGCGCTGCTGGGGGCACTTGATGGGGCACTGGCCGTCGCCCGAAGAAGTCCTTGATGGTACCAGTGCGCTGCCTGGCCTGCTGCATGCCGGCAATGGTTCGGATCTGCAAAGATGAGACTGTCGCGGCCTTTCCCAGATCATTGGCTGCAATGAGCTCGGACTTGGGTTCCTGAGTCGTGCTGTAGGCTTATCGTCCGCCTCCACTGCGACCAATATGGGCTTTTCACGCATGTATTGCAGTGAGAGAGCCTGGAACAGCATCGGGCATTTCACGGTGTGCTCTTTGGTGTTTTTGGCCTGGCTACCACAATATGTGCATGGACGGCGCATAGTCGAACTGAGACTTTGCGCCTTCGTGCGCGCATGAAGTTGCACATGTTTCCATACCTCGCCATGGCTGGCCTGCCAATGTGCTTTAAGACGAGAAGCTTGTCGCAGTCGCTGTCCACACAACATACACCTATTGGCATTGGAAGTAAGTAGCTGACTGTGCTGCTCCATTTGACTGATCGGGGTATCCTCGAGAATGCACCTGACATCTTGTACCATGTGTTCCTTTGATGCTGACTGCTCATTGCCCACCGGTGGTTGTGGAGGATCTCGTAATTCTTCCTGGTAGATCTCCTCGAGTAGTTGATCGATGCTCTGACCTAATCCGACTGCGATTTTTACTCTGAGGCAAGCGCCTTGGGTAACATGTTTTGTCAAAGATTGCCATGTCCCGAGCCGCTTCCTGCAAAACCTGCAGCGAGGTAGCCCAAAAAGACTATGTTTGGCTCTATTGAAGCTGATTTTGGCGGCCTGCTCCACGTCTGAATGTCGTCGATGAAGATGCTGGTGAAGTCCTTCCGCAGTGCCGAAGTACACTCCGCAGACCGGGCACGGGATCTGGGCAATGGAACCCGTATCTGCCTGTGTCAAAGCCTGCGTTGGGCCATGCGCCTGCAGAATCTGTACCTGCTCGATTATTTGTTGCAATCGACGCTCTTCCCGACATCGAAGCTCTGCATGTCGGCTAACATCCTGCTTCAGGGTCCCGGCCTGTTTGTCCAGGCGTTGTATGATGTGCTGAAGTGGAATCAAGTCCGCCTGCTCGAGGATGGAGTTGTTTGTGTGGCCCTTCTCATGAACGCGCAGGATTTTGCGTAAGTGCTGAGCCGCAGTGCTTTGTAGAGCACGAAGGGCTGCGTGAGTGACTCCTACCGCACTTATGCCATAAAGAAGGGAGGGCCACACACATGCTTTGTACACTCTGAGTCTCTGCGCCTTGTTGAGGACGCCATTTACCCTCAGCACATTCTTGAGCTGCGCGAAGCTGACGTTGGCCTGCGTGCATCGATATTTGGCCGTGGCCTGCTCAAACTGGCCATAGTTTAAGACAACCCCCAGATACGTCAGGTTTGGCACTATAGGAATGCGGATGTCATTGTCCTCACTGCGCAGCACCAAGCATTTATCACCATTCCATTGCTTTGTATGCCGTTTGATGATTTGCTGCGCCTGGGTGCCCTTCAGCGCGAGGACGGCCATTGATTTCTGGAAGTTGATCACCATGCCTGAGCTCGAAATGACATCGATTACAATCCTGATTTGTCGTAGAGCTCGTTCAAAGGCATAGCACGACTGGATATCCCAAAAACAATGTTTGTCGTCTGCGAAGATGGACATGTGAGATTGCGTCCATGATGCATGTAAGGTCCCGGCATGGTCTCGCAGTTGAATTTGCTTGTCAATCTCCTTGCATAGTTTGGCAGTCCAGCATGAGTAAAGCATTGGAGCTACCCCGCAACCTTGCCGTAGTCCTCGCTGCATCTTGACTTCGCGTCCATAACCGCCATGCTCTATGTGCAAAGTTGTCTGCTGATGTATGTGGATTAAGACACGACTTATTTCTTCGGGCATGCCGGTGTCCTGCAACGCAGTGTGCATTTCGCTGTACCCCAAATAGTCGAAAGCTTTACTCAAGTCAATAATGCTAAGCATTAAGCCACCAAGAAGCTCTTGGTCCGCAATGTTCAGGATTCTGGCCGTGTGGTCTTCCACGTACCCTGCAAGTGTTTGGCGAATTGATGAGCAATGCTGAGTGGCTCTCAGTATTGGGTCCATCGTTGATGCCATCTTGCGGTAAGCATACTGCGGAACCCCGGCCAATGTGCTTTGAACCCACGGGTTAGCATGACTTTTCAGGATATAAAGAAAGGCTTTCGTGTCCGGACCCATCAACCCAATACTACGCAGCTGAGCCGGTGAAGTCGGCGCCCGGCCTGGCTTTGGTAACCAAGCCAACTGCACTCGCGTCCAGAACTCCGGCACGTAGGGGCGCTCAGAGCACAATGCTTCACACGCTATGCGTTGCAGGGTGGGTGCTAGATCCTTCACATGAGTTCGCCAGCATTCAACACTCGCAGAGAACTTAGGAACGGCTTTGTGCTGATTGAGCTTGCATATAATGCTGTTGCCCATGCCTCAGCGTCAAACCATTCGTGCGGAAGTGGGAGCAGCTCCGGAGGGTCATATCTTGGAGCAGCGAAGAGTTGTTTGGCGTGCTCCGCCAGCGCATCACATCTTCTTCACTTGAGAGTATCCCTCCATGCTTGTTTTTAAGGCAGACTTTCCTCCTAAAGGATTTAGGACAGACCTTCCGAATAAACAAGTACTGAGCATGCATGTTCCTCGCATTCTGTGCCTCTCCGACCAGCGCCAGCGTCTCCAGCAGGGCATCCCGCTTTCTCTGTCGGGCCAGTTTCCTCATTTCACGTTTGCGGACTGCCTGAGCCTCGGCCGTGCCCGCCGCATCCTCCGCATTGGCGTACTGCTCTCCTGAGGTAGCTGCCCATATGGCCTCCACATCTCGCGTGGCCTCGCGGAGCTTGGGCATTGCCACCCTTTTCTTTGGTGCCTCCAGATGCAGCTTCACCGCTTTCTGCAGCCCTTGGAGGCTTGGATGAAGTTGGGCCCGGATCTCCTCCACTGTTGGCGCCGTGTCTCGCCTTTCCGGAGGAAGCGTAATTCCTTGCTTCCAGGGTTTCCAGTTGGCCTTGATCGACGCCACGACTGGAAAATGTCCAGCCGATCTCCATCCAGCCAGGGGCGTGCTGACTGGGGCACATTTGCGCGACTCAATATCCGCACTTTGCCGTCTGACAAGTATGTAATCGATCTGTGAAGAACCATTCGGATGATGATACGTTATTGCCGCTTTGCTCCACGAGTTCAGAACAACCAGCCTGCGCGCCTTGAAGATCTCCATCACTTCCGCCCTTTCTGCTTTCAGCTTCTCCGTGTCACCTCCCGGTCGGATTCCATGACCTGCCACTTCCGCAAGCGGCTCGAAGACCATGTTGAAGTCCCCTGCTATTAAAAGCGAGGACCGAAAAGGAAACCCGGCAATTGCTCCGTCCAACTTACGCCACAATGCTCGGCGTCTGGTCATCAGCTCCGCCTGCTCCTCGCCGCTTACACGCGCCAGGGCGTGCTGATATATGGCCAGGATATCATATTGCTGCCGGCGAATGTGGCATCTGACGTGCAGTAGCCTTCCTGCTTCCAGTTCATTCCATTTCATGCTATGCTGATCGATCAGGTCAGATCGAATGCCCACTAGAACCCCAGCACCCTTTTTCTTTGAAGTTCCACTGTGAATCAGCGTCCATCCCTCAGACTGAAAGTCATTAGTGAAAGACCAATGCGTCTCCACCAGGATGAAGACTCCAATGCTGGGGTCGCGCCTGAGCCAGGTATACCACTCGAGTTGCAGCTCCTGCGAAAGTCCGCCACAGTTCCACTGAACAACAGTCAGTCTGTCCCAAGTTTGCGTCCATGGCATGATTTGTGGCTTTGGCGCTGCAGGTTCAAAGGGAGGAGTCCACCTTGGTATAATACCACCGTGGTATGCTGCTTTGCCATCCCTGTCTGCTCTTCGCATAGCCCGCTTGAGCGAGCGCTTCTTTATCCTGTCTGATGTTGCTCGCATAATTGTAAGCCTTACATCCCCGCTCTTTGGTGCAAAAGCACCTTCATCCAGTGTCGGGGAGGACCTGGAAACCCTCACGCCAGCTGATTTTTCAAGATTTGTTCTTGGATATATATCATTCAGCTCTCGGACTTGGGACCGAGATGAGCAGGCCTCAGTGGTAGTTGTCGTTCTCGTAGCATCCGGTACTGAAGAGCCTTGCTTGTTTTCAGGGGGCTCAGTTCTCAAGAATCTGGGTATCTGTTGCGGCATTCGCCTGGTCTCGTAGAATTTGCGCAAGTGCTTGCACGGACTCCTTGCTATAATTCCGGACCGCCCAAGCTAGGAAGATCTCGAATTCTTGCTGTGGCCAAATGCTAGCCGCCTCTTGGAAAATCCCAGAGACTGCTTGCTCACTCAGTAGCGCGACAGTCAGCTGCTTTGCCCAGTTTACTGTGCTTGCAGATTAATGGATTAGCTGCGTCTCTAAGTCTTCAATGAGCCACGCTCGCAAGTGTCCAGCACAGCAAAGCGACATGCCTATTTTCCCCCTTTCATGTCTGAGCCGCTCATGGCGCTTTACTACTACTACTACTACTACTACTACTACTACTACTACTACTACTGCTACCACTATTACTACTACTACTAGTTTTTGTCGTCGTCGCAGTCATAGTAGTAGTGTACGTTCGCACGTACGTAGTACCAGCGGTTGACTTGCCGTTCTTGATGGGACCTTTTGATCAAAATATGTCTGCACAACACTCAAGCAGGAGAAAGCTAGGCCACCTGCCCGATGCTGATCGCCGAGCACAGGCCGCAGAAAACGAGGCCAAACTGAGCTTCTTGGATTTCTGAAGGCATCTGGTGCCCTTCCAGGTGTAGAGTGGTAGTGGCGAGATGTCTCTTGCTTGCTCTCTGCTGTTGTCTGTCCTATGCGTGCACTTACCACGAGTGCTACAACACCAGTGCACAACAACCACGCACGACAACGCTACATCGCGACACATTGTGCATACAAACAGGCAAGAGTACGAGGCACCGGCGTTGGTGGAGTATAAACTGCATTCACGAATGCTTTTCGTGCGTGTGGGCACATGCATATGATATGTGCAACATGTGTAGATACACATATATGTGTGTATACATATATATGTATATATATATATATGTATGTATATATATTTCTGTTGATACTTATATACATACTTATTTATTTGTTTATTTGCTTACTTATATTTATATGTGTGTAAAAAGCAAAAAATTGTATAGATTATAAATATATATGTGCATGTGCATACATTCATGTACATACATATACATGCATATATATATATATATGTATCCGTACTTCCTCGTTGAAATAACTGAACACATGCATGCATGTAGGCGACGGCGAGTGGCTCTATCCACACATTTGCAGCTCTACTTACCTGATGCATGCCCCGTTTGGGTACCTGCATCTATGTCGGCTTGAATCTTGAAAGTGGGATTGCATGCCCCAGCAGACTCCATCTGGGTTGTAGTTTTGGGGCCCTGAAAAGTATTTATGAATAGGTACCTCTATAGAAGCCATAAGGGAAATTTTAAAGTTTCCCAAATTGCCGCCAAGCCATAGTGAGCGCATCCTGCAAGCTTGTAAGCCGCGAGCGTAGGCCAGGAGCACGGCCAGGCGCCGGCCGTAGGCATCAGCCGCCGGCCCACCCATCTGGGCATCGGTTTTTAATATAGTGTAATAATAATATAATATAATATAATATAATATAATATAATATAATATAATATAATATAATATAATATAATATAGTATAATATAATATAATACAATATAATATGATTTAATAAGGCCGAATCGCAAGATGGTCTGATTGGGACCACCACCGGTCTGGAATACCCCTGCAAATTCCTGACATGGCTCAGCCCGGAGCCAAGTTGCCGAAGAAAACACCGATGAAGATGATAGACATCATGGAACCTGCCACTACGACTCTTGGAGTGCCGAACGCTGCTCTCGCGGATGGCGTCCGGATAAATCTGGATGAGTCTGCCGTCTGAAGTAAGACCACTCGGAGACAGAGCTGCGAATCGAGGCCTTTGAGTGCCGGGGACAGCTCCCACTCCTGGACAGTCCCGGCAGAACTACCCGATGTTTACAAAACAACCTGCATGACGTATGCAGTGTATGTGCACAATCTGTTCCTGTGAATGCTTCTGTGAATGCATGTGTGCATGCGCGTGTGTGGCATGCGTGTAAATGTGTCTATGGCATGCGGCCTGTATGCATAAGCAAACGAGTGCCTGGCCACATGCATCCAGGTGTGTTCCATGTGTAAACTCAGCCTCTGCAATACCCGCACGAAGCCGAAAACAACATATCATAAAGCGCCTTGCTCTTCAAGCAGCTGGTATCGACTCAGGGGGCTCACCCTATTTTGAATGTGATTCTCTGCTGCACGACAGGAAATGCATAAATTGGTCGGCTGGTGCAGTTCCATCACTGCTGCGCTGTGCGTTGCGTGCATCGTGTCGGAGCACTCGTGACGCTTCCGTTGTCTCAGCTCGCTTCTGCAAACACGCTGTCTGAATTTGCAGCCGAAACCCTCGAAGTTGACGCTCCGTCCTGTTGAAGAATGGAGAGAACTGCCGAGGATATAAGAATCTCTGCTCCATCGGCCCTCAGCAGCGCAGGACAAAGCACCCAGTCATAAGTCAGCCGAGGCCCCCTGGAACTGTCACAACGATGCCACTGGAATCTTGCGCCCCGAGTGCCGGGCAGCCTCACACCACTGACCAGAAGCTGCTGCCTGAGTTCCCAAGCACTTGCTGCTCCCTACGCAATCTTGTGCCCTCCGTCATAGGCTGCGACGAACCGACACGGCAACGCTTCCAAGCCAAGCAGCAATAGTTGAAAGCGTCCGAGGCCAATGTCCTGCACAGCCGCTTAGTCGAGAGCATGATTGGAGTCTTGGCGACCTTCGTTTCGCAGGGTTTTGTCAAAGTCAGCAGCACGCACACTGTCGGCAGAATAAGAAGCGAAATGGACTGCCTCAGGAAGTATGCATCCTTGCCATGCAACTACCGGGTTGCTATGCCATAAATCCGACTCTAGACTGCCCTTCCGGCGAACACACCACTAAACTGAGATGCTCGGTCAGTCCTCTGAACTGTGCCACAAAGCCCCAAAGACTTTGGGGGTTAAGGCTAAGACCGTTCAGGATTCGTAGGCCACGTTGACTTCGAACTGTAGGTGGAAGTTGTTGTCCCCAACGGTCAACCGGTAACCCAAAACCCTTAACCCGAAACCCCAAGTGCCCGATGCGGCAGCATCCTCGGTAATTTCATCGAGATCCAGCATTGGGTATCAAGGAATCCGGAGCCTCGCGCACTTCAAGCCGGATTGGGTAGGGAGCCGGCTTCCACAACTAGGGCTACAGTACCTTGTTTCGGATACAAGTTATCTTACAAGGATCCTATAATTTAAGTTTAAAGTCTCCTGAACCCTGTCAAACCCTAAACTCTAAACGCTCAACCCCTGTTTACAACGCCTTACATCACCTTCCGGGCCTGGCTTTGTTGTTTGTTGTCGAATCAATGGTCGCTCCCGCCCTCCCCACCCCAACCGCCCCCATGCCCCCCCATGGTATGGTCTGGAGCCTCGAAAACTGCCCAGAATTGTAAGGAGTTGGTGGATTGGGCATGGAATCCTCGCAAGTGCCACTTACATACGGAAAGGGCGTCAAGCACAGGGAGAAGGGCATTTCTTCCCCCAACCCCCAGGCTGAACCCACCCCGACACCCAGGGCCGGGGCAGGGCGGGGTCAGATTGCTTGCCGCTGCTGCACCGTGTATGCAAGTTCGGGTTTGCGGAGGGCTTTTCTGACTGAAGGTGCGAATGAAGAAGAGGCTGCCGCGCAATATCAGAGCTCTCGAAAGCAGCCCATGCCGGGGTTGGTGAACTGGGCTGTTCCTAAAGGCCAATCAGGCATTCGTGTCTCTTGTTCGTGATGACAGCATACTGCACTAAACTTGGAAGTTATGCTCGAGAACCACGCGAATGCTTTGGTGTTCGCCCCACTCAGGCAGAGAAATCCACCCTGACCGCAGGGATTTTCCCGATTTGTGAACTCCACTTTCTGGATGACTCTGGCTACCCGTTCTTGCAGAATTTGTTTGTTATGGCGAAATTTTTGCACCGCCATGCCTGGCGACTGGGAATAAGGTTGATTATTGTTACAAGGCTAGTGAAGGCTTGCGCCGTTACATGTGTACATGCGGCGAAAGATCATGGCTCCTTGGTACACCACGAAGATATGTGAAGGGTTGGACTCTAATTAATTGAGTTCCTCTAGTACACATCACTACAGGTATCTGCAGGTCAATATTATGGCAACATTTCGCCACACATATTGGCAGATACCCTGGTAACACTACACAGTGCGCCTGGCGAGTTCGTTACGCGTTGAAAGAGCACTGGCGCCATGATTGTCGCATGGGAAACCGTACTTGGAGGTTCATGGGTAGTTATAAGTGGGCTTATCAATAGGGTAACTACAGTTATGACCTATATTGGGGGACTTATAACTCCACTTATAACTACCCATGAACCTCCTAGTAACCTGGACACATCGACCAACTCAGCAGTCGGCTCCTCCTCCAGACTTTCTTACGGATGTGGCGCCGAAGCCCTCGGAATGCCAGGGAAGGGTTCGGCAGCAAAACAGACATATATACATATGTACTATGGAGGCCTGCTGAACTGGAGATGTCTGGATCAGGAGATTCGGACTGGATAATATAGGGGCCAACACTTAGAATAGGGTTTTGGGGCCCATTCTACTCTAATTATAGTAAGGAACTCCCCAAATAGTATAGGCAATTCTGAAGACTATTAATCCCGCTACATTAATCTTGAGCTTACCGGCAGCCAGAGGCGCAGGATTTTTGACCAAGCCCTTGCCTCTGCCACTGCACTAAAATCGGTGCGTAAGATGAGAGGCTTCCTAAAATAGGGGACGGTTTAGGGTTTAGGGCTTTAGGGCTTTAGTACCCCAGAATACCCTAGATGGTCGGATCCTTGCTATAAGGACCCCAAATAAAGGGACCCCCTTCTTTTCGGAAACTCCCAGATCGCTGCAAAGCAATCTGAAGGGCAAGGTACATCCGCCCTCGCCTTGAACCTTGAACGCTGAAGCCCGAAAGCCCTAAAAACACTCAGACACCCCAGCATCATACTTTGTAATATTATATACTAGCCTTTACTATTATATACTATAATATATTATAACATACTACAATATACTATAATATACTATAGTAATCATACAAGAACTCTTTGGCCCCCAAGCCGGCACCGCGATCTGTGGAGTTTCAGATCGCGCCCCCACATAGCTTGAGGCAAAAGGTGCACACAAAAGGGTTTAGGGTTTAGGGTTTAGGGTTTAGGGATGGTCCAGTGCAAACAAAACGGGCCAAAGCGAACGGGGCGTAAAGACTCATGCATCATCGGTCCATGACCGTAAGTTTAGTAGGAGCACATTAGAAAGCTCAGACACTGCTCGACCCCGGCTTGAATCACTTCGTAGACCTTCGCACTATCCAAATTAAATCGAAGTTGCTGCAAGCTCCTAGCCATCATTCAGCCCGCGGTGACCACAACATGCTTTCCGAGTTGTTGCAAGTACGGGCTTGCTTGAGAGTCTCAGTTTCGATAGCATACATTTCCCAAAGTGCGCAGACTCATGTGGCAACCCTGCTTTTCCAGCAACCGCACCGTTTTCGGGTTGCGGCTGCGGGTGTGATCACCTTCCGAGACTCCCTTTTCCTAACCTATTCAGCCGTCATCCTCGCTACGAACACCCTGCCGCAAACCACAAATACTACGCGAAATGTTCTCAGAATGGCCTGACGAGGCACAGTATTTGCTGTGACGAGTATACATCTGCTGGCTTTCGTCTTTGCTACCAGTACTCTGTCTATGTTAAGACTATCCTCGTTGATGTTCAGAGCGGTTCAAACACAACATTTCTCTAACCAATGCCCATGATGTTAGTGTAGTGGAATCGGCACTGTCCTACTATTCCTTGCCGCCGGCTTAGCAGTCTCCGTAAATCCAGCAACTACTGTTGAGTGAACTCCTGCAGGCTCGCGGACTTTTTAAAGCGGAAGCAACAGAACCCGGCGCCGAACAGCTTTGGGCAGCTGGCGAGGAGCTCTATTAAGCGGTAGTGCAGACTCTTGTGAACCACCAAACATCTGGTTACTTCACGGTCACATTGTACAATCACTACGTTAGCGCACATTCCCCAAGCTCCCGCACCATCCGCAGGGAGAATACCGGCACACTGCTTTACCTTCCGTGCTGGTTAGTTGCTCCATCAGTCCTAGTTTGTCTTTGAAGCAGTGCATAGACAGGCCACGATGTGGTAGTGGGCATACATGCGGGATACCGCAGCGTCTTCAATATTGTTGTCCTCAATATTGCGATGTATTCAACAAAACTGGTACACTCGCAAACCATGCCATACGGTCCTCATGCGTCCTCGCGACAATTGGTACGAGCTCTCATCACATTCACATACCAACTTAGAGAAGCTAAAGTCTCGTCGCCATGTCTGCACAGCGCCCTTAAAAAATGAGCAATGCAGCGCATCTGCGACGTTTCTGCAGAGCTTCGCGACGCTTCGCGACTGGGTGATGGTTTGCCCGAAAGGCCTCCGGAGAGGATGCCGCAAAGGGGACCGCCAAGCAGGAAGAGATGGGGCTTCACAAGCCTTTTCTCATCCATGTCAGCCCGCCCTGCGGCATCTCTTCTGCCACAGGCTCTTAGTTGTCAGGCACTTCTCTCGCGTAGTCGGCGTAGTCTGTACAACTTGAAAAGCACACCAAGTCAGCGTGGCATGGCATCTCTGGGATCAGCCCAGGCCATGACAAGCACAATAACACCAAGCAGCCGCATCTCCCGAACACTGGAAGCGACCATGGTGGCTAAACTGGTCAAGCCGGAGATCCCATCATCACACGCCTACTATGTCAAAACCTTATTTGACTAAAAGATAAACGAAGAGCCGGTGATCTCCTATCCACTGCCCTTCGTCACCAGAGAAGCGGCCGCCGTCTTCGCATCAAGAAACACAGGCAGTTGGCTGATTCGGTTTCGCGGAGGCGCACAAAACAACAAGAAGGAATACTAGTAGCAGTAGGAGGGGAGTATTCATCATCATTGCCATGACTCATCAGCATCAATGCCAGTATCACACAATCACCATTGCCATCACCATCATTATCATCATAGTCATAATTATTCGGCAACACCATCATCGTCATCATCACCGCAACCAAAAGACAGAATGGAAACTGATGGCAGCAGCAGCTGCAGCAGCAGCAACGTGTAATTTTACATGTATGAACGTTTGTACGCAATTGTGTTCATGAATGCATGAATGAATGAATGAATGAATGAATGAATGAATGAATGAATGAACGAATGCATGAATGATTGAATGGATGAGTGAATGGATCAATGAATGAATGAATAATTGAATAAATGAGTGAATGAATGAAGGAATGAATGAATGAGTGAATCAGTGAATCAGTAAATCCGTGAACGAGTGAATGAATCAACGGATGAATGAATGAGCGAACGAACGAATGAATCAAACAATGCACGGATGTATGCATGTATGGATGGACGGATTGATGTAGGTATGTACGCGGGATGTATGGGTGTACGTACGGATCAATGAATGGGTGGATGTATGAATGTATGGGTGTATGGATGCATTGCATGGATGCATGCACGGGTGGACGGACGGACGGACGGACGGATGGATGTACGTGGTTACGTATGTGTATGCCATAGCCATAGTACGCTTTGCACGACGCAGCCCACGCACATGCATGATATCCCCCAACACATATTATAATACTCACCGTCGCCCATCTAAGAGCACAAGCGAATCAAGCCGGAAAGGCAACCCTGCATCCGCATCCTGCTAAAAACTCACGCATCCCTTTACATCAATGCGGCAAGCGTAAGAAAGACACAGCCTGAAGCCACGCGTGAGTGTTAAACTCGAAGGATGGACAGCAAAGCTGAAATACCTCAAAGCGTAATAATACTGGTTCATCGTAACCTGTAGAACCATACTCGGAGTGATGAGACACTGGTAGCTAATCCTGTCAGCTCACAGACATGCAGCACCATGAAGGACCAGGAGCATTCTGCAAAACGATCTGCCTCCTAATCCAATAATCGTGCTTCAGCCAACTACCGCCATGGAACATAATCACATCCTACTTTCTCAAGACAAGGGGGGTTGATCGCAAGTTGGCTCCAAATGAGCAGTAAGTCTGCCT